ATCGTCACTCGAATGACGAGACAAATGCAAAATGATCGTCATTTTCGGGTGGGTTATAGTCCGAATTAAGTGGGTTGGTTGGAGTCTGTACAGACTCCAACCAACCCACTAACCGTATCAATAAAATTGATTTTTTTTTTTGTATAATGACAATTGGTCGAACTCGTTATAAAGTTAAGTTCTCGATATAAGGACATTTTTGATATAGCGACCATTTGGGTTGGAACCGAGCACTGGAGTTTATTAGTTATTAGTTTCTTGCAAAATAAGTCGATCCTTTGCTTGTAATAGATTTTTTATTTCTGTGTAGACTTCCTCTTCAACAGATTCCTTGATGTAATTTATTGTCGAGTTAAATGCGCAGATGAGATATAGTGAATATCTATCACGCATAGCTTTTGTTATGATAGGTTTTTGCGGTGCAAAAATTGAGGCTTGTTGAGTCGATTGGATAACTGAACGTGGTGTATCACGCGAAGTAGAAATAGTATTTAATGATGTCTGTTGGGTCGATTGGGTAACTGGACATGGTGTATCTTTATGCGAAATAGCAATGTATTCTGACGTCAAGGATTGTTGGGATGTGATTTCATGCAAAGTAGTATCTTTTAGAGTAAACAACATTGTAGTTTGTTCCTCTGAAGTTTCTACTGATGGAATGATAATGCCCTTATCACGGTTCGCTTTTCCACGTGATCGTTTTGATCTTGATTTTTGTTTCTTGATAGTTTCGAATCAGAAGTCAAGACATTTGTAATATTACAAAGCCATAAACAAAAAAAAAAATCAAATTACTTACTCTCTCGGATTTCTCCGCGTAATCTGGATCCGACAAATGATCTTCTTCTGAACTTTCAGAATAACATATTGACTTTCTTTTTCTAGTCGATCTCTTTCATACAAAAAAAGTCATAAATCAGTTTCAGTCGATTGGCTAAAAATAAAAATTATGCATCCGTACTTTTGACTTGCTACTAACATCGAAAGATCCATTATTGATCCCAATCATTGAGTTATCCGTCGCCGTAACTTGGTGAAAGTGAACCGACGTTTTATCGACTGGTTTAGTTTTCTTTTCATTCTTCCAATCTCGAGCATGAGCACAATCAGAACCCTGGGAAATAAATTTTGAAATTAGTAATATTCTTGATTATCTTTAAAATACATTATCCGATTTTGCCCACAAGTCGACCCGAAGTCTCAAACGTAAGAAATCCCAAAGATGTTTCTTACGCCTAGTGGGGCAAGTGCCAAGTCGACCCAAAGTCTCGAACGTAAGAAACTCCCAAAGATGTTGTCTTGCGCCCCAGCACTGCTTCGTAGCCTGTCCCAAAGACTTGATTGGCGCATGACCCAAAGTCATCGCGCCAACGCTACCAAATGCTTTCAACAAAAAAAAGTAAAGAAAATAAACGCGCCTGTCTGTACTGTTTAAGTAACTTCCTTGCCCGTGAACGCCTTGGACCTTTTTGAGTATCAGAAATGGCCTCGAGAGATGTGAGGTACAACTCGATCTTTTGCTTGAATAATGGTAGATTGCATTCTTCCAAAAAAGCCAAGATATTCCAATTCTCAGGCTCGCGATTAAAAAACTCGTGCATCTTGTTAACTATAAAAGACTTATGGTGGTGAAAGGAAAATTTTTTTTATAATCGACTGCTAATCAAATAATCCAGTTAACGTTTAAATATATTCCACAAAAAAGGTGCAGTCCTGTGACTTTCGAATGGTCTCCGATGCGATGCCAGAATACATATTTCCTAATAAAGTCATGTTCTAAATCGAGAAATCAAAACAATCCAAATTAGAATTACACATACACTTGTACCCCGTTTATATCCCCAAATTTTGAACAATTGTGCCAGTTATATTCCATCTCAGATATACTGTATATCCCTATCCCCAGAATTCTTATAACCGAATATAATAATCCGAACCCCCTAAGTTACACCAATTGCTAAAAAAGACTGCATGCAGTTATTTACGTGTTATTTGTAATGCAATGGACGTAATAGTTATTTTCGTGTTATTTTCGCGTTTTACGTGTTATTTGTTTGACATTTACATATAATGTTGTGAATAAAAGTCCCTCGCCATAGTTGTTTACATGAAATTTGATTCTTTGGTCTCAGTAGTAATTGATTGTCTAATATCAAAAATTGAAATTATTAATAAAAGGAAAAGGAGCACAAAAATGACACAGAATTTACAATCTTGATCGCTCAACCGTTAGTAATATTATTCGAAATAAACAAAAAGTTCTCGATGCTTTTAAGCAAACTGGAGAAAGGGCTAGAAGCGTACTCGAATGCAAAAAGGTCATTTGATATTGTTGAAAAAGCCGTTTACAAGTGGTTTTCAATAGTTGCGTAGTCCGATATACTCAAACAAAAGGCACGAGAGTATCATCAACAATTTGTTAATGCTGGAATGGATTTTCCTGCAAATTTTGAAGCAGCCAATGGTTGGCTGAGAAGATTTCAAGAACGTTTTGGATTGTGCAAAAAACGATATCAGGGAAAAGTGTTACGGCAAGCCGATTTATAAGCGAGTCACATGGTAAAATCTTCCTCTTGCAGTCAAGCAAAATCCCATGATCGACATTAATTTTAGAATGGTTCAGATGCACCGTGTCGAATTTTGAGTAGGCGCAGAAAATGTTTCGATTTTTGAGTGTCAGCACAAACGCAATTAGCTAACTTATAATATGATTAGTTCTTCATAGAAATTACGATTGTTTAATTATTTTTAACTCCGTTTCGATTTTTGAGTGTTCGCTAAAGGTATATAGCGACCCTTATCCCATTGTCGAATTCTCATGTTGTTCATGTTGTTAATGTTATAAAATATTGTTCAGGTTATTAGAACAATAATTCCCACTCCACGGAATAATAATCAAATAAACGATTCCCAGTGACCTATCTATTATAATTAAATTTGCGCGCTTCCTAACTTCCTATCCGAGCTTCAATTACTCGTGATTCCAAATAAGAGTACCCATGATAGAATAACATACAACAATTATTCTACCGCAGAATCGAAGGGGAAATAAATCTATTTTAAATTAAACGGGGCTTTCTTCGATGACCAGTCGGGTTCCGTCACTTGTCTCTAAATTACTAATTAAACAATGTTCGTTTCAATAAATAATTATTGGCTCTCGTTCAATATTCCAGCTTAGATGACAGGTGAAAAGTGGAATCAGATAAGTAAATCACATGATAAAATCTTCAAACAAACCCATGATTATGATCGACGCTATAACAGATATTATAGCACTTTTCAAAATAGCATCGAAAAACGAAAATGAAAATGAAAGTGAAAATGAAAACAATTTCAGCCAATAGAATCAGTTATAATCGCCTCATATCGCCGTGTAACAACCCAACGCGCTTTCTTGCGCTAAGTAAAGAGGTAAAGTTGTATTAAGTAGGCGTCTTCTACTCTTCAGAAAGGTTTAATAATCACTGGCTCGCAGAAAGTTTGCACCTGTTTTCACGTTATAATCGCTGTTTCGCAAAAAAAGTTGCGTGACTGCAGAATTTTGAAATTCAGTAGCGTGTCGGAATTTTTGTGAGAACGCCAATTTAGGGCGCAGCAACATGTCGCGAAATAAGTGACAGCACAAACGCTAAAATTAATAGTATAATAATTTATAGAAACATGTCGTTTTTCTTGCGACGCAAAAGATTATAAATAGCTCTTTATCGTCAAATCTTCATGTTGTGTGAACATCAAACGTGAAAGTTGTTATTCAAATAAAATTAATACTACTGATCTTAGTATTTCTTTATTATTCAATATACAATTTATTCTTTCATCGTCGAAATAATTGGTTATTAGACCGGACACTCCAATAAACGGCTCACTTAAGCTGTAACGGAATAGCATTGATTTGGTCAAGTCCGCGGATCAATTACGTGAATAACGGAACAATTAATTATCGAGACGATTATTATTATTGTTTAATTAGTTTAGATAGCCAAGTAATACCGACTAGTCGACAAACAAATCGAAGATAGCCTGTTTAATTTTAAATAGTATTATCCCCCTTCGATTCTTTAATAGACGGTCAAGAAGACATCAATTGTGCAGACGATTATTGCGAGTAGAAATCTAAGGGGCTTGTTCATTAATTTTGTTCATATCTAACGTCTGTTTGAAACAATTAAGGAGCTGTGTTATAAAACTTCCTCGAAGATGAATGGATAACGGTTGAAATATACGTTCTTACCCTCGAGTATACGTTGTCAGTCTTGGTATTCCATAGACATTCCATACAAGAGAGAGGATCAGGTCGGGATTATATTCATAATATTAATATCAACATTAATCTAAAAGTCTATATTCTTTCTGACTGCTACGATTTTTCTTTATTATTATAGGATGGTGTTATCGAGGAGGCTAAAAAGATAATCAGAATATTGACGTCAGATATAGATACAAATGGCCAAAGATATTCTGGTATGTTAAAGAGCTCCAACGCGATCACTGTTGGAAAACACCCCAAATAGAAAATTAGAAAGGGTTGTATACATTTTTCCACAGTAACAGCTTAAAAGAGCTAAATAATAAATTAATGTATAGAGAAATATGCATTCTTTCTTTATTCATACAAATTACTTTTAAAGTTGAAGGTCAATCAGCATATTGATGTGACGCTAATTTAGATAAACAGATTTTCTTTTTGAGTTGCCACTACCGACATTAGGCTCATTAACCTCTGACCAACAATACATTTACGTAGTTTTAAATAGAAATCTATAGCAATCTGTTTCACTTGATCGGTACAACTACCCAACTCCATTGATGAGGCCGTATAAGAATTGGTCGCACTTTAACGCTGTCGCCAATCATCAACTTATCTCCCTCGATAAGTTTTGCATTAACACCGAATTCTTTTACATAAACGATCTTTGTATCTTTATCGATATCTTCCGACACGACTGCTGTAAATTCCAATGATTTTTCCTGCTGTAGCAAACGCTGAACCAAAAATAATGCCCAATACTTGGTTGCTCTTAAGCTGACCGCTCTGATAGTCCGTTCGCGTGATCTTATAGATGGCACTAGGTTGTTGAGATCTTCTGTCGAAAATGGAGGCGTCTGTCCAAGAAGATGAGCCTTTATCTGCCAGTGAGCTAGCATATCAACATAACGCCGTAACGGTGATGTGACTTTGCAGTAGCCATCTTTTATTCCCATATTCAAATGAGGACCAGCTTCCGTTGTTATTTGTACGCTTCCCATTAAAGGTCGTATTTTTGCTATTTCTTTTATAGGCAAGACTCCTGTTATAGGATCGACGTTCGATAAGATGCTTTCGTATAAAGTTGATTGTGATCCAACTTGAGTCCTATAAGTCATGGGAATATTGCGTTCGTGACAGAAGAGTGCCGCGGCTCGTCCTGCCATTATCATAAGTTCGGCCACCATTGAACGCGCTGGGGAGTGATTGCTACGATCAACTGTTACTTGAATGTCGGGAATACCTGAATAGAAGATTGGTTGTTCTATTATACTGGGATTTGATGGTAATGGGCGTGGTGCTAGCGCTACTTCTGCGGAAGGCTCGTTGTAGCTGAAACTTCCATTTCTAAATCGATATTGCATATGTAATTTTGCAACCTGTTGTAGATCTAGAAGATCCTTGTGAGTCCAAGCAGGAACAGAGCCCTCTAACTTTTTCGTCGAAGCTACTGGGTTCGGATAATAATGACAAATACTGCATATCAATTTGGCTTCTTCTTTTCCACCAGGTATACAGTCCCACGACAGAATGGAATCCACGTCGTCATAATACAATGTTCTAACTTGTCTAACGATACCCGGTTGTACCTTGTAGTTCATTATATTACCATTGTCATCTATTTGAACGCCAAAACTCATCACATTATGTCCACCATCTTTTGTTTCGGCCCCTAAACTAAATCGCTCCTCATTCAATCTCTCCGGCAACATTCCATAATTTTTTTCTGGAAAATAAACTGTCTGAACACGTGATTTAGCCAAGCGAGCAAGCTTGTGTGCTGGATGAATATATGCCGATGGGTCTGCAACATGAATATATACCCACGTGCTTGCAGAACCCGAACCATTGTCCATAACGCGTTCTATAGATACTCCATCATCGATCTCGTGTGCTGTTGGATCGTCAATCGTATACACTGGCAGGTTACCAAAATCATGACGGATGTCATTACAAATATCGTACGGATAAAATTCCTCCTCTCCAAGAGTCGGTGTAGTCTTGATTAACAGAGAAGCCTTGTCTTTCGAAGAAGTATTTTTTCCGCTATATTCAAACGACGGAAGGTTAAGCAATTTCTGTGCGAGTTGTATAGATTGTTCGTGTTCTGCGTCAGCATCTTTTGAGACGCCATGACCTTGTAATTTCAGCACAGGATTGTAGACAGCTAGATTCTCCCAAGGTGTCCATACACCAATGTCTCTGAGAAATGTTACGACACAGTCTTTGTCTATTATTCCTTTATACAATTTCAATGGTTTTAGTATTGCTGACGCCGATACATCCAATGATAAATCCTGCCAGCCTTTTTCTTCCAACGTGCATTGTTTCAACATTTTAATAAATAACCTATCTTCAGCGGTAAATTTTGGTAGTTCGATCGAAGTGTTTATTGTAGGGTGGGTTGTTTCTTCTAATTGCATTAATTGTTTTTGATTGATGATTGATTGTACTTTGGAAATAAAGGATAGAAAAGGGGGTTGATTACTTCGAGTCCATTGTATGGCTGTCTCAAGATCGTTTACAATGCTGACCGGACGTAATTTAAAGTAACCAGATGATCTATGTCTGCTTGGATCCGCGACTATAAAATAAATATAATACTTCATCATATATAAATGTGCGGCAAGTAATTGAGCAGATTGTGGTTCATTTTCTTTAAACACGTGACTAGCCATCGCTTTGGTAGACACTGGTGTGGTCCCAGATGTTTGAATGAAATGAGAATATGCTTTTTTGAATTCAAGGTGTTTGTATTGCATCAATGACATTGCAGCCTTTTCCAAATCTCCTGCAAGTCTTGCATGACTGATAAGGATGGGTGAACCTTCTGCTAGTGCTGGCTTGTCCGCCCGAGGTAAATAAGCAAAGCCGGGAATATGGAACGAAATATCCGAGTCACGATGAGGCATTGTTGTTCCAGACGGTAATAGGGTGCAAGTTTTATCAATGCCTTCATCTCCTCTTAGTTTATAGAGTATGCCAATAAAAGACTTCCCGCTTCTTCGAAATTCTACTAAATCTCCAACTTTTAACGGTACAACGTCTGTATGTAATTCGGATGAGGCGAGTTCAAATTCCGCTGGTCCGCTTTCTATTTCCGAAATGTCAACAACAGTTAATTTGAGAGTATCCTGAACAAGATTGCTAGGAGAACTTGGTTTGTCCCCTGGCTCATTAATTAACCATTTTACCGCGGTTTTTTCATTTACTTTTTTTGTCTTAGTTTTGAGCTTTTGAGCATCCGGTACGGCATCTTGAGCAAGACTGTCAGCGGAATTTGTTTTGTTCTCTGGTTCACTAATTTGCCGTTTTACCGCAGGTTTTACATCCGCTTTTTTCACCTCTGGTTTGGATTTTTGTATACCCGTGCTGTCAATGGTTGTTGGTTTGCGAGCGTTCTTAGTTTTGGCGGGAATCGGCTTTTGCTTTTTATTCGCTTGAATGAACCCTGTTGCCTTGGTTTTTTCATTCGGTGTTTTTTTCTTGACCGAATTTGATTTTTGCGTGTCTGGAGTCTTTATCTTGGGTACAGCCTTGTCGAGATTTTTAGCTAAAATTTGCTTGTTTTTTGGAGTATCTTTAATTAACCTTTGTAAAATGGTTTTTTCATTCGGTCTCTTTCTGGGGGGTGGATCAGACTTTTGGTTATTATTATTTTTTACAACATTCGACAGCGATCTATGAAAAACATATCGAATAGGCAATTGTCGGATAATCAGTAAGTCTGGGCGGTGGAGATAACTTTTACTTGTGAATTTTAACATGATTTTGGTTCTGTAAGAAAATGCTATTGATTTACAAGGATTCACGATTTCATTTTTTTATGTTTGATCTATCATCACGTGTAATCAACGTGGCTTAGCTTCTGTAGAACTTCCCCTAACATTTTGGTGGGGTTTGCACTCATGTGACATTAACGGGTCAATGAACGCGTTTACTGGCTCAATGGTCACCATTAATGTCACATGATTGCAAAAAACTACCGAAACGGTTTCTGACGTGACGAGAATTTCAAAATTAACTGACCATCATAGCAAGATTATCGTTAGGAAAATGCACATACATGCCTTCATTTTTATGTCGATTATCACGTGAACGCGATATGGCTTAGCTCCAGATTTCTATAAATTCGCACATATTTAAATAAACATTGTATTAATATATATGTACAATATGACGAAGAACTCGCTAGCGTTTTCCAAAGACGAAGCCGTCATCATGGACCATGTAGCAAGGGCAGCGGTTAATTTAGCAGTATTACGAAGACATGATAGAACTATTGTAGAGATTATGGATAACTCTAGTCACGTAGTGCTGTACAAGTTCTCTAACGAGCAGAAGACGTGGGTATGTTTGGAGAGTACACGGTGTGGCATTGAAGTGAAGGGAGTATGGGATGGTATGAATGTGCAACAATTAAAATGGACTATCGGGTAAACAAAAACAATTAGAGAATGTGGTATCATTAGAATGAATGTATCAAATGTAGAAAGTCAGTTTTATCAAGAGTTTCTTCATAGAAAGTGAGCGAGGATCAAAGCGAATTCTGCCCGATTACATTTACTTAATGGTGTGCACATTCATTATTCATCCAACACAGACAAAGAAAGGTGTTGAAGGCACAATGTTTGTCTTTAAGAGGTTGGTGTTTATCCGATTAATTTACCTCGGTTCGAGGTTCATCAATTTACAATCCCCTTCTTTCTGTTTATTTACTTAGGTGTATACAGCCCGTATTCGGCTTTGTCGTAATGAATCGTCTCGGAATTGACAACGTAATGCTTCATCTAACCGATAAGATGGACATCGAGTTCCAGGATGATTACATCATCTATCGTACCGATGATGGTACAGTATGAACCAAATAAGCGAATGAAAGTTGTTTGAATTGGGAAATAGCAAAGTGACTGTGATTGAGCTTTGTTTGGACGGTAGATGATATACATGGCATATGGGTTTATGAAGCGAAGGATCGGGAAAGGATTGGGAAGTTGATGATGGAGTAAGTGTGGTAAAAAGGGTTGGAAGGAGAACGAGGGGAGGAGATAGCAGGGGAGTGGGAATTCTGATTAATATTAGTAGTCGTTATTAGAAGGGGTGTTCAAATTTGACAATACTGATTTTTTTCGAAATTATATTATTCGTAACTAATACAAATATCTTGGCTGCATATATTCGTTTACATATATTTTTGTTCTTTCCTAGATGCTGTCAAATGCATAAAACAATCGTTCCACCACCACAACTAGCGCAATCGCCAATTATTCTCCATGGTGAGCTAACGCCTGTACCAAAACCACGATTGACTAAACGACAACAACAACAGCAGCAACAACAACAGCAACAGCAACAGCAACAACAACAGCAACAACAGCAGCAGCAGCAACAACGACAACAACAACTTTACCAATTTCACCAATCAATATCCTCCTCTCCATCGTCTTCACAAAATACGCAATATGGAAAACCAATTGATATTCATGATTTATTTAAACATGCAAAAGTCCAAGAGAACGACTCTGCATCTACGAATACACAAACGGGAACCGCGACTTCAGGGAAGGAACTGTTAGATGCATTGTTTGCTAGTGCTGCAGAAGGAACACAGACCTCAGGGCAGACCCCACCGATAAATGTAAGCGAAAACACAATCATTGGGAATATTATTTTGCATGATTGTATGGTCTTGGAACCAAATTGACGCTTTATTTTTAGCTCTTAATTTTGTTCTATCTGCAAGTCTTCTACAAGTCTTTTCTAACGCAACACAATTTTGCTAAATACAGATGAGATTTAATTCCTCCGTCTCCCAAGCAATATCTTCTATACACACGCCTCAATCTGCCTCACCACCGCCCGGCTCCGTGATTCCATCATCTACATCTACAACGTCACTCAATAAATCGCTTTTAGATCTTCTTTGCACCCCAACTAAACATCAACAATCCTCACAACCACAAACATCACAACCAAGTACTCCATTCGCAGTCTCATCAAGCAACCAGAATTATCTCATTTATTCTACTCTGCATTCGGAAGGTGTCTCTAACGGTACTACAAACAAGGTAGAGGAGCATACCTTCAATACGGAAGATGGAAAGCGGAACGAAAGAATTTCCTTAAAAGAGGGCGAAGATGCTCTTAAGAAATCATTACTATTTCTTGAGCAGAATGGCGATGAACTCGAAGTTAAAGCAGAAGACTTGGCGGCTGTTCGTCGCGTAATCAGCCAAATTGCACGCCGGATTTTTTGATATGACTATCATGAGTTTCTTTAGTAATGTGCAATATAGTTAACCAGCCGATGCCGAATACTGTTAAACGAGGATTATGGTTACCATGAGACCACAAGTCATTTATTGATTGGGTTGTTTTTGCATGTGTGTGTGTGTGCGTATGTGTGTGTGTGTGCGTATGTGTGTTTTTTTGCTTGGCGAACATTGTATTTAATAATAAATGTCGCGTGCTTAGAATGAACAACAAGAATGTATTATACCAATGTTCAAGAGAGCTATTGCGACGAGCTTTCGATACTGACTTTGTTGAAGACCTTTCATATTCCGTTTCCAAAACCCGCCAAAGTCAAAAGTGTCGTTTAAACTGATCGAAATCTGTGATTGCTACTATACAACTGTCAACTTATTAAAATCTTCTCATTAAAATTACGGTTAAAATACCGCGCGAATCATAACAAAATATACCATTGTTGCGATTTTATGTACAATGAAAAGTCTGTCAACCTTGCCCGAACACGAATGAGTGTGGGATTTTTCTAGATGCAAATTCAGTTGTAATAATAGTATTAGTATTAAATAGTATTCGTCTTGAGCAACGGAGAAACTTCTGGCCAGTACAAATTTACGTCACTCTCACCGGTAATTTTTCGGTGGCTTGTACATTTATACCAAATTCCTTCTTAGAGGCTGAACTCATTACAAACTTGAACCACTTTATAGGTTTGAAACCTTGACCCTCCACATCATTAGCATTAATGTCAAGAGAAGTAGACTTGGTTGTTGCTGGATTAGGCAACCCGGAGGAAGAATATGCAACGACACGGCATAATGGTCATTGTGTGAATTATTAAAAGGTAGTTCTTTTTGACTTGTATATTCGTTATGGATATTGACACCTTTTGTTCAACGTGTTTAGCTGGATTCATTTTTATTGATTACCTCGCAAATAAAATGGCACTTGCTCAAGGTGAAGGCAATGATGGTCCTCCAGCGTTTTACAGACGATTCGATTTGAATGGTATTGTAGTTGCAGATGTATCCAACCCCTTTTCTCCCGGCTATGCTTTTAATTGATTATTCACAACGATAATTATTGTGCTTTTGTACTTTGCAGCTGATGTGAGAGACACCGTGTTTACGGTAACATACGAAAGCGGTTCGTCTTCAGTCACGGTGCGTGAACAGACGCGTTGATTAATCTCGATCCTCCACAATCTCGATAACCTATCTGATAATCAACAATGATGTATTTGGCTAGAATTCTTTTAGGGTTATTCTGATGAAGCCATTAACGAACATGAACGAGTCCGGAGTTGCCGTTCAGAAAGTATTGCAAAGATATAACGTCAGTGATTTGAAGAAGCTGATTGTAGTTTCGGACGATTTAAACACTCAGCCTGGAACATTGATGATCCAAGGTGAGTTTGAATATGTTGGTAATGGTGACGGGAAACTTTGAGAAAAGCTAGGGATACAATCACTATTTTCCGTATAGTTGGAGGCCATCTGGGCGCAATGGCAGGCCATAAAGGAATAGAAAGCGTAGCAACGATATTGAATAGCCTAAACTTTATAAGGTGAGAGACCCCTTAAATCAAACCAATTAGTCAGTTATTTATACCGATCTAATATTTCGACTTATACGTAGATTCAGATTGGGTATTGGGAGACCATACGACTCTACGTCAGTAGCTGACTGGGTATTGGGACCATTCTCAAAAGAGAAGAGAGAAATGGTAATATTAGATTATGGCAAGAGTTTTCGGATTCGACAACTTTATTAATCTATAATTGAACTTGTATTAGAATCTCTTTGGTCATCTCCTTGATTTGACGTCTCGAGCCCTATATGATTATAGTATTCATCATGATATCAAACGCGTGAAAAAGAAATTCGCCCAGGCTAAAAGACTGCCCAATAACCTTCCAAACATGGAAGGGCTATATTTCCCTACCCAAATCCATAATATATGAATAAAATCGAATTGTGTTATATTTATCAATTAATATCCATTTATGGTTTAGTCAGTTTACACGCTATATCCGCAGTATTTACGGAACAATAGCAATGACTACGCAATCTTTGGAAGCCGTATTTTTTTTCGTTTGTTAATAGGGCCTTCAACCTATCATCATAATCAGTGTAACGATACATTCTTTTGTGGCCTTGGGTACAAAAGGCACAGTAATTCAAAGAATGCGGAGAACGATGTTTATTCAGTTGTCGTTCAATAACTATGTAATAAATTTAGTATATTAAAACCATAAGAAAGTCTTATTTTTATCAAGCGGCTTAATAACGATATAATAAACGCATTATTTCAGTTAGGCCCCCGTCCCATTTTAATTTGTATGACTCACCATTTCAAACTCCTCAAACTGATCAGAAAAAAAAAATTTTTTTTACCCCCCACTCCTGATTGGCACCCTATTATATTATCACAAAAAGGGGTACACATCTGAACAGTATTTATTGCCCATCATCGCGATTCCTGGCCTCCTTCTCTTTCGCCGGTCCTTTCTTTGTAACGACTCCCTCCACGTATTTTATGCTTATAGTTATATAATGTAAGTATCAACTCATCCACGAAAGAATCATCCATCCAAATATCTATCTTCATACGAACGGTACACTTGACTGAATAGAATAAAAGCTCTACCGTCTTTCTCTTTGCTGTGGAGAATAGTGATGATTCGACCGCAGTAAAATTTTTTTCAACAACTAGAATAGAAAGAAAGACAGGCACAAGAAGAAAAAAAAAGCTACATAGTGACTGCTAATAAAAAGATTTTCCCGTTTGTTGACGTTACTAAATATTGGTTTCGTTCGTATATTCACAGTTCATAGCAACATGGGTAAAGAAAAAACTCACATTAACGTCGTCGTCATTGGACACGTCGACTCTGGCAAGTCAACAACAACAGGACATCTTATTTACAAATGCGGGGTATGAGCGACGTCTTTATTCTTTCGCACTACTGTATATTGTGATACTCTTACCAAAGTCTGTTTGTTCGCGTTTTCATATTCTTAAATAGGGCATCGATAAACGAACAATAGAGAAATTCGAGTATGTATCCTCATAACATTCTATCTCATTCTCTATATTACGATATCGACCATTATCGTAAAGCAAGTTAACACCCCATCAATTGTAATACTTGTTTTCAACAGAAAAGAAGCCGCTGAACTAGGAAAAGGTTCATTCAAATATGCCTGGGTCTTGGATAAACTCAAAGCCGAGCGTGAACGTGGTATCACAATCGACATTGCTCTATGGAAATTCGAAACCCCTAAATATTATGTCACAGTCATCGACGCTCCAGGACATCGTGACTTTATCAAGAACATGATTACAGGAACATCTCAGGTAACGTATACAGTCAAATAACATTGACATAGATGAGAATCATAAGTATGATTAACTCGTTTTTTCTTTCCATCCTTTTCTCACACTTAGGCTGACTGTGCCATCTTGATTATCGCTGCCGGTAATGGTGAATTCGAAGCCGGTATCTCCAAAGACGGTCAAACCCGTGAACACGCTCTTTTAGCCTACACCCTTGGTGTCAAACAACTCATCGTTGCGGTCAACAAAATGGACACAGCCAAGTGGTCTGAGGAGCGCTTCAACGAAATCTGCAAAGAAGTTACCAACTTCATCAAACGTGTCGGATATAACCCCAAGACCGTAGCTTTCGTTCCTATTTCAGGATGGCATGGCGACAATATGTTGGAAGAATCATCTAATATGCCTTGGTTCAAGGGATGGTCAAAAGAAACCAAGGCTGGTGCTTCCAAGGGTAAGACATTGTTGGAGGCTATCGACTCTATCGAACCTCCGTCAAGACCTACGGACAAGCCTCTTCGTCTTCCACTCCAGGATGTGTACAAGATCGGTGGTATTGGAACTGTACCTGTGGGTCGTGTCGAAACTGGTATTATCAAAGCCGGTATGGTAGTTACTTTCGCGCCCGTTGGTCTCACAACTGAAGTCAAATCCGTCGAAATGCATCACGAACAATTGACCGAAGGTGTACCCGGAGACAACGTCGGTTTCAACATTAAGAACGTCTCCGTTAAAGAAATCCGCAGAGGATATGTCTGCTCTGACTCCAAAAACGACCCTGCCAAAGAAGCCGGATCGTTCTTGGCTCAGGTTATTGTGCTCAACCATCCCGGTCAGATTGGTGCTGGTTATGCCCCAGTATTAGATTGTCACACTGCACATATTGCTTGTAAATTTGCCGAGCTCCAAGAGAAGATCGATCGTCGTACCGGCAAGAAATTGGAAGATAACCCGAAATTCGTCAAATCTGGTGATGCCGCTATTGTAAAAATGATTCCATCCAAACCCATGTGTGTTGAAGCCTTTGCTGATTATCCACCACTTGGTCGTTTCGCCGTGAGAGATATGAGACAGACGGTCGCTGTCGGTGTCATCAAGGTCAGTATAAAACCAGAATATATTTGATGTACGATGTATTTATTATACGTATTATCTACAGACTTTACTAATTTTAAATCTGCTTTGCTTTATTTTTATTACAGGGAGTTGAGAAAGTCGAAAAATCTGGCAAGACCACCAAAGCTGCTGCCAAAGCGTCCAAGAAATAATGATGCCAGTTTCAAATAAGTAATTTTTATTATAATCACATGACCTCTCCGGTATGAAGAGAAAAAAAAAATTTTTTTATTAACGATTTACTATATAGTTGATCCTCAAAATTACGCTGGTACGTTATATACGCAAAGTTAATAAAGATTGCCGGTATAAAAGTAAAAATAAAAAATTTTTTCGAATGAATCGTGAATGGAGAATCTACAAAATATGATCGTGTACGATGAATTATGACATTATTGATCGATAGCTGTATGAAATACGTTAATCAAGGTATTATTGTAATCGTAGTCTTGCGCTCCGGCTGCGGCTGTCGAGCTTAAGTATGATTAACATTAACATCCACGCCTACCGTGACACAATTTTGGAAAATGTCCTTTACTTTATCCCATAATTATCTTTAAATTTCTTGGTATTGGATTGAGTTTGGTAGGAATTTGCCGGTTGCATCAAACTCATTACCAATTTTTCATAAACTTTTCGGAATCCTGTTGACTCAACTATAGAAGCATATCGTGATTAATTGGCAGAGGAGTGAACCCTTCGTATAAACTGTACCAGTGAAATTACAAGTTTATTCAAAGAGTATTTGAGTCGCTAAATCATAAGCAGTGGACGATGCTAATATTGTAGTTATATGAACAGACCAATTGTTATCTTCGTAACCGCCACTAAATCCAAACTATCTCCCTTACTCCTCGTCAACCTCCCTAACTCCTCTAAACTTGTGCCTGGATCTGAACCTATGTCTCTTGTGTCCTTTGATTACGACGTACCCCATTTATTCGCGCTCCAAGTGACTGTTGTGGAGAGAATCATAGCATCATAATATCAATAATCAAACCAATTGTAGCCCTGTTGAATTTTTGAATGTGAGGAGCCTGCTAGGTCTTATCAACTAGAGAAATGTGCCAACATGTTTAACACAAAAAACTTTTAATATATACCTCAAGCGTCAAAGAGTACAAAATGCGGGAACGTGAACGGTACTTGTTAAAATACATACAATGTAATGTGAGATAGTTTACAATTGAACATAGCTGTTGCATTTAATTCCGTAAATTTTTTACATAAAATAAAAAAACCAACTTATGGACCAGTTGTCTAAATGAAAATGAGCAGAATACAGTCAACTGCCTATAATTCGACCGCTTGCGTTCCGAAGTTATCGATCGAATTAACGTACAAGTCGAATTATCGTCAGTTAATTACAATAGAAATAATAATAAATGTTCTGTAACCAGTGGTCGAATTAACGTATAAATCGAATTAAAGAAGGTCGAATTATCGGTAATAAATTAGTAAAAATCCCAATTTTTTTTTTGCTTTGGTGCATATGGAAATATTGCACACTTTTATTTATTTAAAGCAGCAATCACTGTTGGGAATGATACGTAGAGTGTCTGAAAAGTTTTGTACAGTCCCCATCTCAAAAGTCACCGACCACTCTCATAACGAGCAATGTAATCTCTGTGAAATAATACTGGATTTAGCGCACAGTATAGTAATACATACGCGAGAACCTATTCGGCCATGTCGAGGGAAACAACATTTCTGCTTTGAAAACATAATTACTCAATTTTATGTTAATACACGTATTCTGCAAGATTGTATTCCCGTAATTAATTAAGCAAATACTATTGGAAAGAAATCGGCAGTTTAAATTAACCAAGTTATTCCTTAGTATTAGGAGAATGTCCTCCAAGTTATGGACTGGCCCTAACGTGAACCCGAATAAACTGTGATTACAAGTTTATTCGAAAGTTTGAATCACTAAATTATAGAACAATGGAACATATTAATATTGTAAATTGGCTTCATTTATATCAACATGTAACCAGAATCCAAATCGTAACTATTTCTCGGTTTAGGCAGATCTCCTTGTGCTAGAATATTTACTCTCCTTCTCGAGGTTTTACATCATTATAATAAACGGAATTCCACGTGTTGTCATTAGACCTGATCTTTCCAATAAGCTCGTCAATATTATGCCAAAGTGTATATACATCTGGACGCTTATCAGGATCAGCATCACAACACCATTTGGCAAGTTTCTTGTATTCCTCTGGTGCGGAATCAGGCATCAGTGGTCGTAGTCCTTCCATAATCTCGCGTATTAAACTTGTATCAAACTGCCTATCTCTAAATGGTGGTTCACCAGTGGCCATCAAATGCATAATAATACCAAAAGAATACACATCTGATTCTTGAGTAAATTTGCGAGTATGGAAGACTTCCGGTGCAATATAGGGTAAAACGCCTCGAATAGTTGAATTTGACTCGCGTGAATTTACTGATCGTGAGAGACCAAGATCGCATATGAATGATTCTGTATTATTATGTAAAACTATGTTTTCGCCATGAAGATCACAATGCACTAAACCCACACCATGAATAGTATCCAGATGGCTTGTAATATCATATAAACACTGTAATTTCATCTTCCACGTCAATTTGTTAATATTTTGATCCAAATAAGACAAAAGACTGCCATTGTTAACATATTGCATAACAATCATGCACTCTTTTGTTTCTGGGTTTTGTGTGACTCCATAAAACTTAAGGAATCTATTTATCCCATTGGTGCACTTGGCATGATTTCTGAACTATTAAATAAAATAATACAGAGTCAGATTAAATATCACTTTAATTAATAACATCGGCAATTGCTTACCTCGGAAATAAATAATTCCGGCATTTCGTCAAAACTCTTAAACCGTTTGAGTACAACAGTTTGTTGCATATCATATATTTCTGAATACTTTTTATATTTGGCAGTGTAAACTGTTCCGTAACCTCCAGATCCGATCTCTTTGAATTCGTCAAAGTCGCTATACTGCATATACTTTACATTTTCATTAGTTCGTATAAGTCTGCTCAAGACCGCATGTACGGCGTGGTAGAACACCAAATAGTATTTTCGCGTCGACGGTTCTTGAGTGATGCCAATAATCCAAATATTCTCGGGTGTTAATATCTCCGGGTAATCTGT